AGACCGCCGTGATGGTTTTCAAAAATGATTGATCTATCTCTGGTTAGTAATTAGCTTCCAATAATTGTCCAGCAGCAAATACCACCATTTCCTTATTGTCTCCTACTTCAGTCGCTTCTTTCCAGCTGCCGCATCGAGGTGTTATAGCACCACTGTTGTTCGTGAAATAATGAGATGGCGTCCTTCTCGATTCTGTGTCGCTGCAATCGCTGTATCCGAAGCATCGATTTCAAACACAAAGGGAATATCGAATTGAATTGCTACCGACTCCTTTTCCGCCCCCTCTTCGATCCCCGGACAGAGTATTTTAGTAAACAGTTAAATTGGTATACTGCTAATGCGGTTATTCTGGTGATTGCAGCGGAAACTCCGTGGGAGGTAACATGGGAGTCTTCAACAGATCTAGATTTATGAGGCTTTATTCGATCGCTACCACCAAAACCTGAGCTTTCCAAGGCTATTTGGAGGGTTCAGTTATCCCCTTAGATAGGAGTCGTTTTTTCATGATGATGATTGTTTTTCGTCTATTCTTTTAGACAGTTTTCTCTTATGCTTAACTGACAACCCTCTGTGTTCGCAAGAGCCTCACAAGAGGTTTTAGTCGAGTTTTGAAAGGTAATTTATACACGGAGGAACTAGTAGACATGATCTGATTTTTCCGGCACCTTGAAAGACGCCTTTCGTAAATTTCTCTTCCTGCGTCAGCCTTAAGCTAACATGCTTTAGCTTAAGTGTGAAGCTGGTTGACCTTGTCACTTGGTGCGCCAATGTGCACTAAGTCTCACCGTTGGATAAAACCGGCGGCGAGCAAGTGGTTCTCCGTTGACTGAGGAAAGGAGAAAGGGGACTTAACTGGATATCTTCAAGCGGAGGAAGACACCAATACCGTGAACCGAAAGGCCTGGTGACTTGAACGTGACTCAATTTCAACAGCAACTAACGAAGGGCGTTGCACCTTGATATAGGGCATCTCAAACAAAACAACTTGACCCATGGTGTTCGTTGTAACCACAGGAAAAACACCAAGTGAATGGTGGTGACACTTTTGTCGCTAGATTTATCTGGAGCCGTCGTCAAAGTAACCGCAGCGATAGTAACAACGTATAGCAGATCGACGGGATTTAGAAAGGATGGCGATTACTTTTCTGCTATTGCCAGATAACTATATCGGTTAAAGGCTGTTGGGAAGTTCAATCAATTGTGTTACGCAGTCATCGTATCTACGGAAGAAATTTTTCGTTCTTTTTAGTTACCTATATATTATGAAGAACTGAAGTAGTTGCTTCGTGTGCTTCACCCTCTGCGATGCGTTCGTAGACAGTTTGGGCGACATTAGAAACCGGGATATCCGACTCGTTTGGGTAATACTCTCACCCGAATTGCGAAGTATCCTGTGCCAGTGATCTTATTACCTGACAGCATCGAGTGAACTAGGTTTGACGTTAAAGCAATCAAGACAGAGTGCTCGATCCATCTCACGAAACGTATGTCAAAAAGCTGGTCAAAATAGCACGCATTGAGGCAGAAATCAAAATGGCCTAGATCCAACAGCTAGGTTTTATTCTATATATAATACCAGTGCAGAAAGCTGTCGAGGTGAGTACAGTGATATGAATATGGTGAACAATTTATGCAAAGCAAACAGATGACGTATAAAATATCGCCACCAATCACCATTTACAGTATTTCAAACAGTAACTCAAATATGAAGCAACTACTAGATTTCAAACCCATGGTACTGCTTCCTTCTACGGAGGATGGCAAAAATTTTCCAAAAAGTGGTTCTCTGTCATTAGGTGCCATGAATTATTGGCAAGACACCATATCCAATTATCTTTAGATGAATGATAATTCATGTCAGTCGTGAAACGAAAATGCCGAGGCCGTTCAATTTACTATGCGGTCCATCTGACTCTGATCGTGATAGGGGACAATGACGTCACTACCTGCATAACTAAATGACATAGTTCCAGTGGACTAAATTTCTATAACTGCAGACAAGAGAGTATGCTTGACTTCCGCACTAAACCATATATAGTATCCCGTGGATGTTTTGGTGTACCATTTTTCCAGGGGGGGGGGGCTGCAGTTTTATAGGAGTCCACACACTACTGATTAGTTCCGAATAACCTCGTAATCCATGCAATTGCAGACTATAGAGGAAATCCTTACTTTTCCAACCAGAAAATGATGCCATACAATGTCAATGTTATTGGTTGATCTGTACACGGTCCTGATTTGCCTGCATTTCGCGCCTGTATTGTACATGTGCGATGAAAACGGAGTTGAATATCGCGATTAAAACCTCACAAAGAGCAATGAACGCATTTCTCTGGATCCAATACACTCATGTACAGTAACAAACACGATGTTGGGCAAGCATAATGCTCTAACGCGGTTATAAGTTGTAAGAGACTGGAGCACAGGTCACATGGATAAACAAATGCTGTTTCGTGTACTTTAGTAATAAAATAGTTTAACTTAGATAGGTCAGATACCTGGAATCGTAAGTGGCATGATTTGCGGAAGGAGCAACAGTGCTTCAGCACGCGGCTAAATGACTAATGTGAAAGTATTGCGAAAGCAAAGGACGGGAGGAGAGGTCAATAGTTTCATATCGGGATGTATATGTGGTTCGATAAAATTAAAACAAACACTAAATGTTGTAGATAAAAAGGTTTGGTTCTTACTAACATATACAGTATAAAAATGCAGTTGTGTTTGGTTGGTTTGAGATGAACGATCGATATAATGTTTCTAAATGTTGTAAAACATGTTGTGAAGTTACTTTGATGAATTTTTGCTTACTCAGCTGTCGCTGAAATAGCTCAGGCATCGCGAAACTGTCAAGTTGTAAATCTTTCCTCGTTTTTATCGATTAATAACCAAAAATAATGAATTATTCATTTTTCCGATTTCATTTTCCATCAAAGACATTGCTTCTTTACCCAAGTCAAACCGCCCAATCCTTATCGTATTACCTGTGCTACGATGCGAAGAACGACCGTTCGGACAATGAACACCAGAAAATCGATCGGATAGTAGTGATCGATGCCACATGGCGGCAAGCTCAGTCCATAGCGAAACACGAGGCCCTTATCGGTGCGTATTTTGGTGTGGATGAAGTATCAGTGTTACTTTGATTTTGGTGTTTTCTTTTAGTATTTTGTGGTGCCTATTAGATTACTGGTACACTCGCAACGCCCTAATGCTTACTTTATTAGAAAATGTATGCCAATATGAAGAAGAAAGGAAATGCCAAAAGAGTCAGTGATGTATTTTAGGTTCGATTTCGAGGGTTTACAATGAAAATATTCTTTTTTGTGGACTGCTAGACGGTATCAGTGAACATGGATCGAGACATTCCATTCACGTTTATCTGACAGGTTGACTAACTTGTTTTGATTTTTTTATTCCAAGAAGAGTCGCACTATTAATTTATGCATGATGAAACTGTACAGGTGCAATGTGTCCCTTCAGTCAATACATAACTCTGCTGGGAATTTGTGCATCCATGAGTAAATCGAGTGAAGTCCAGTCATGGCCACGATATCAACGAATGCGTCTTGTTTGGTGTACCTTTTGCTGTATCATCTACTCGTCGTCTGCCGTTACTCCCTCTGAATAACAGCCGTGCTCAGGTTTGAATTCTGATAGAATCGATTAAGTTGCACTACAGATGGTTCACAACAAACAGTGTACTCACTGTACAGTGCCTCCTAGCCCTTCCGGTGTTCAATGCCACGTTGAATGCATGGTGAATCGAAATTCACAACAGCTGTACGCAATAGATTTCCTTTCGAGGTTTATCATATATTCGCACTGTTGTTTATCCAAATTATACTATACCCCAGACTGTGTGCCAAACAAACAGTGCAAATACCCTAATGAAACCAAATACAACCCCTGATTTTTCATCTGCATAACAAAACAGGCAAATTTTCTCGGAGAATTCATAACAGAAGTCTTAAGGTATTCCAGTTCTAATCTCACCCAGCTCATCCTACCACTCTCCTAAATCAGATAGCTTCGGGGACCCAACAAAACCCGTCACTATTAACTTCTGACTCACTCACTTTGGTGCAATCACCTTCACCACGGGATCGCAGTGAATAGGAGGTAGCCAGTAGATGCTTCAGGAGAAGCACCTGTTTTTTGGGCGGCAACTTGTCTATCTCATTGATTCCATATCAGCAGATTGTATTAGTTAAGGCAGGAGTTGCTCATTTCTGCAGTTACAGCTTCGGAGTAGGGTAGTCTGCTTGGAGACCAACAAATTACTTAGAGACGACAACGACAATAGAAACAATTCTCGTGTTCCGGGGTAAGATCCGAAAGACCATACAACTGATGGCCTCGAGAGACCGAAAGACATTGCAGCAAGATGACAATATTGTTGCCATTACTTATCATTTTGACATATTTCCGTGTTATATGCAGCTACACTGTGCACTCAGTTTGACTAGAATATAAATTCGCGTTCTCCCTCCCCCCACGGCAAGCTTTCCTGGTTCACATCCCACATTCATATTTATTTATTGTTCATTGTGAACTTCACGGTGACGAACGAACCTCGTTTCATTGCATCGCGCTACACTATGACCCTGGTTTGCCCTCAAGTTTGTTCTACACGTTCTTGGCATGTTGGGTTTTGGCTGCTAATGGTCCGAATTCAGGATGCCAAGTGAACTAATCTGGTTCCTGTGACACTGATTCATGTTGCTACAACGAGACTGGATCGTGCGTTCGGCGTCGGGTCAAATTGGACGTTTATACGGAATCTCTCTGTCCATCGCATAATTGTGGATTATATTCCTCCCTAGAAATGTTTCACGTATAATTTTTAATTCGCATCAGAATGGTAATTTTCCGTGTGAAAGTGTATGATGTCAGTGGAAACCGTATTTCCGGTCCACTGAGTTTTCATTTGCTTTGCTCACTCTACCCTGAAACCACGAAATTTTTCTCCTCCAGAACTTCCTACGGTAAAATTGGACGAACACCTCACGCACTATTGGCGCTTTCACAAGGACAATCCGTCAACCTGTCTGTCAACTATTGAGGCAATATACTACTGCTGTGTCGAGTACTTCCGAGCCACTCACAACCCCGTACATACCCCATACGATGGGCGGTACGATAACTTGTTATTCTATATCTCATTTTTTCATCAACAAATGCGTGACCTGATCACTACCCAAGGAAAGTCATTTCAAGCGTTTTTGGCTCGCGAATCAACGCACTGCGAGCCTTCTTTGTAATGAGTCCCTCGATATTTTTCTATTGCATCACTCCTCTACAGAGGAATGATTCCCTCACGTTCGGATGATGCACACTAAAAATAATTGTGTAGTTCACTGCGATATCCCTCTCCAGCGCTATCGACTAATCAAGGCTGGATGGAATTTAACCGTGGAGGTAGACGAATATGGCAAACAAAGAAAACGTTAGGGATACCGTCTCTTTCGAAATTATTGGCTGTGATCTGCATATTTGTATGTTAATAATTTCAGTAATCATGGGTTTTGCATGGTTGTTTTGTGAGTTTGAGTAAAGGTCGCAGGTGGAAGTATTCAATCGAAGTGTTCCTAGCCGTGCAGTTAGTGCTATTGAACCTGGTTTTGTTTATATCGTTATCTTTTACAGGGTTTGTTATTTTCATACTTTTTAGGTCAAGCTCTGTATTTCCCGTTTACACTGGGTAACCGTACCAATTATGTCTAAAAGGCAACGAGCAGAATGCGAGCAAATATCTGTCCCACAAGACCAGCTGATACGGTACCTGCTTTTGTTTAAAATCCAATATCATCTATACGGAGGTCACTTCAGCGAATATAGACGGAAGGGAGCAATTTTCCGATCATAGCTCCCAGTTAAATGCAGAATTATCCGGGGTTTCCCCCAGGCGGTGATAGGTCTTCGTATTTCACTGGAAGACTGCCGCCTACTGAAGAAGAGCGAGCCCCAGTCACTGAGGTGCAAAACCCTTCCAGACTTTCTTCATCTGACCGCTGCGGGATATACTGTGTTGAGAATTTTTCATGTGTGTGCTATAGTAAAACACCTAAATACCCATGCAGTGCATGGTAAAGATATATGATACCTTTCGACAATGGCTGTAGAAATGCACAGTGCCCAGTGGGACCAATGGGTCCAACGGTACGGAGAGATGATGTAGTAAAATTCGCATTGCAGCAACGTTTCGATAGTTCGATAGCCTGGAGCACCGCAAAATCTAACAACTTGTAGTTTGAGTTTCAGCTGAAGACAACGTGGACTGCGGCGCTCAACCATCAAGATATCATGCTTGGTGCGTGATTCAACGTGAAGTTTTCCATTCACTACTGCCATTCAAGGCACAACTACCGTTTTATTAACAGAAAATACTTCATGGTTGGTTCCACAAGGTCTAGATCAGATCAGTCGTCCGTTTGAGCTCTGTCACCCCAGCGACCAACAATCATCCTACTGGCATATCGCAACGCTTAGTCTTAATACCTACGTACTCATGAAGACTGATTGCACGGTGTAGAAATCAAGCCCTGTATATGGAGATATATATTTCACACACGTCTGACGCCAGGCCGTGCCAAGCAAATCATGGTACAATAATCTTTATAAACAAGAAAAGCGTTCCATGATTTGGGTGGGATGAATACTCCTAGGTTGCCCAGGCCAAGGCTGGTAAATTTTCTTGAGGAATCTACAACCGGAGTCTTCGGTTAGCCAAAGCCTAACCCGCAAGGCAGCGGTGCGGTGTGTGAAAACCGCAATCCATCGGAAGCCGGTGTCCAGTTCATCAAATCATACGCCTTTCGGACGAGGTCGAATGTCCAAGGTGACCACTGCCAAACCGATGGTGTGTGGTTCGTACGCCTCTTCCGGGTTGGCTTGGAATCAGAGTTTTTGGCCAACTTGTCCAGGTGAACTACCAGTGGTCCACCAACCCAGTTATAACCCCAGATATCGGCTTTTCGTCCTCTCACTTAGATGCAAAAACACCTCCGTCACGAGAACTCAGTGAATGAGATGATCATACTTGAAAGGACGAGTCGGAATTTCATTTTCGATCAGCTTCAACGCACTCGTAATCTCGCGCCTTCATTCTCTTCGTTCCGTGCATGCACGTTTGCATTTATTCGCCAAATACAACAGAGAAAGCCATGAGATATTCCACATTTAGCCATTCATATTCTTGAATAATGGTCGGCAACAACGTTGCAAACCTTATATCTGATAGGTAGATTGTCGTAGATATCGATTTATTTAAGGAAGGCGAACAAAAGTCGGACGATGCAAGATTTGTATCTTAACGGTAAGCGTGTCATGCGGTTACCAGGTGAAACCAATCGGAATACATAGCTCGTGTTATCGACAACACCTGTGTACATCACCAGCATTTGGCAACAATGCAACTACTAGATCAGAGGTTTTTTGTTCATTTTTCATTTACCCTATTCTCAAACATCTGGAAGCCGCCCAGCGATTTGTACAAGGTTTATTTTTACAATCGGTTATCAAGTGCTTTGGTCCCGAATCGGGAGATCATCCTTCGATAGTCGATCAGCGCCATTTCACCTGGATGTATCTCAAGCAGCCGACGTGTGGTGTTCAATGTCGGAGTCATATGATCAGATAGGATTGAAGTGCGCTTCTGCTGGTCCACAAAGCAATCACTTAACCAATCAAATTCTATGACAAAACTAGTTTCGTCGATCCCTTGTAGACGGCCTGCAGATGCCCATGGTAGGATGAGTTGATAGCAAACAACTTTTCTGTGCAAACTGACCTCGTACGCGTTGGTTAATCAAGATTTTTTATGAAGGAAATTTACTCAATTTCTTGTATAATCATTAGTTGAATTTCTTGAGAAAAAACTGGTCCGTTCTCCGATGTACGAGGAATGTTGCCCGCATATACAATTTAGGTTCATGGATATCCCACTTTGATCGCACGGCTAGTATGAGCACCACAGATATATTTTAGTAACCAGATAACCTCGAATACCGCCAAAAGAGCCAGTTGTTAGCACGAGAGGCGTAGCTTTCGGGGAAGCCTCTCCCTTCTCCGAAGCTGCACTGATTTTGTTGCCTAACCTGGTTACGATACGTCTGCGAACAACACATCCAGCACGGAGAACACACCAACATCTGCATCCTGAGCTACGATCATTTCACATTATTTCCAACATAATGATAGCGTCGGCCTGTCTGAACAACGTGGGTGATTTCTGCGGTTGGCTATTTTCTGGAGATCATTTGGGCTTATACGTAGAACCAGGTCGCCATTATGTTTAGAGTGCGGTGCAACTAATTTCTCCATTCATTGTATTATTGACCAGTTATAAAGAGAATCAGTACCTAACTCTTGCGCTGAAATGCATTATGCTAAACAAAGAGTGTTATGAGCTATTGTCTTCACAAATGGATGTATGGAGTGAAAGGAATCTGTTTCAATTTGCAGTACTTGTAAGAAATACTAGAAGAGTAACCCTAGCATCCATAAAAAAATTTGACGTACTGTAGTGTATTCGGACCACCAATCGATTGTATGTCTAGAGTAGCAGATGAACATGCTTATATGCAACCTGGGCAGGTCAATGTCCAGTGCAATTGAATTGCACCTGAATAGCAATAAGTGGATGATTGCATTTTTGCAAAGCCACACTAGCGAGATGCGTGTGTGGCTGGATAAAATTCACGACGATTTCGCTCTAAGTTCGTGTTCTTGATCCCGATCTGATATAAAACTCGAGAAGGTGTACCTATGTTGGTGAATGCTCTGACTGGGGGCTAACTCAAAAAACGCTACAAGTTGCAGGGAATGTGATTTAATTCTGAAAATATTTTCATTAAAGAAATACATTTTACAGTAAGTATATGCACAAAATGGAGCGGAATTTAGCAAACATGATGAAGAGATAAGCGGAACAGGGAGAGGGATGTGCTTGATGTATACAAATCAGCTTGGGCCGAATGCGTTCCGATGAGTTCCAGAAGACTAAATCAATTTCGTTGTTGCACTTGAAAAGTGAAAGACGATGGCATGAACGCAAGAAAACTGATGGAATTTCGGGTTCTTGTATTCGAAATCAATCCAACAAAAGTAGACCACGGAATGTGGAGCTGTATAAGTTGTCCACATATTCTGTGAAATGAGAATGAAACAGATAGGGGATAAGCATCATCATTTGTTTGGTCAACGTCTGAATGGGGAAAGTGGTTAAAAATGTACGGGTTGATGATTACAATCTAACATAGCGTTTGAAAAGCACGAGGGACGCCATTATCCGATGACTTCACTGGCAAGGTTTATCGACAGTTAAACACGATATTGAAGATCTGGCAAAATAAAATAGGTTTCCCATATGTATCGAAAAAGAGGACACAAAATGCAGATGTGTGAGGAGGAAGTATGTTATATCGCTTGACAGAGTGAGATATAAGAATGATGGTCGTTAAGCTAATGAAAGGAGCGTCAGGCAAGCACAAAGCTTGAATTAACAAGACGATTTTTTATCCCCGCTGAAACCGGACAGTTGCTAGGTGAATCAAGAGTAAGGCAGTTTCACCGTCGTTAGATTAAATATCATATCTATCCCCATGAAGGGATTTGTTCAAGTGCAACTAGGACCTCATTACATCCATGCGGGAGGCGGTGGCCCAGTGATTTAGTCGCTGTCTCAGGCGTGCTTCGGACCCAATGGTCCGAGTCTTGTCACCGCCACCCGAATTTGATCTTAGGTAGCTTTGCTGTCGTCCGGTTCCATACCACGCCTAACCTATCGGGTCCTTACGTGGTTCACCACTCCATGTTTCGGAACTTAAATTACCGGTTTTTATCACTGAAACCGCAGGTCCTCGTGATCGTAGGGTTTTACCCCGCCTAGTGTTCACCACACGATGAGTGTGTAATAAAAAAGAGTTGTGTGTCAAGTTACCGGTCTCTGTGACTGCACAGTAAGCCATGGGGACGATGGGACGCCTATCCGCTGTTCACGATCGTCCCCAAAGCACTGACAGAATTTGCATTCAACGCACCGCGTTTGTAAGGTAAGCGATTTCGGATTGCTGGCAATAGTGGGATGAATTTGCAGGTGTCTTACAGGTTGCAAAGTTGTGCAAATCCGCATAACGGAGTGGACACAGCAGTGACGAATCTTACGAACAGACTTTGTTCACGAATAGCGGTAAACACTCTGTTACGTATAAAATCGATGTGAACCATTCCATAGTTGACAAGCAAGCTCAGTTTTACTGCT